GTTTAAGACGTTTTGATGGGGAAGGAAGAATAACAGCGCAAACAAGCAACCAGCCCAGTTCTAATTTTGAACATTTTTCATTTGGGCTTCCAGATTTCCACAGAGGATTCTAATTTTGCAGGGAAAGTGGAGACTTTATTCTTCCGTTAGAGCAGTGGTTCTCAACCTGTGGGTCGGGAGCCCATTTGGGGTCTAACGACCATTTCACAGGGGTCGCCATTTTTCCCCCCTTTTCCTTAGCTGTGCTATTCCCTTTTATTCTATTGGCTTTTGAAAGCCAATAGAATAGACTCTCTTGAATAGAGTCTAATTCTATTGGCTTTCAAAAGCCAATAGGAATTGTCCAGGCTGTCTCTGCCCTGCTGACCCCGCCAAAAGTCCCATTCTGCAAACGATGCTGCACCAGTTGAGTAGTCCTCGACTTACGACCGGTTGAGTAGTCCTCAACTTACAACCGGTTGGGGGTCGCGGCATTAAAAAGATTGAGAACCACTGCGTTAGAGGTTTAGACTTCCGATCCTGCAAACAAAATCGATCTTCAGAGCCTCATGTGAAGGCCACCTTTCAAATTGTTTACAATAGTGTGACTTAGGTGTACAGATAGTTGTTTTCTGAATATGATTGTTGTTTGCATTTCTAAGAAGGTAATGTGTAAATACATCTAATTAAGGCAAAAAGAGAGCAAAGAGGTGGAGCCGAGGACAGTCCAATCTGAAAATTGGAGAAATATTTTATATTTGTTTCTCCTCCTGTTTTCAAATAGTCTTTAATATACCAATGGTATTTTTTTTTTTAAATTCAGTATCCTTTCAGGAAATTGGGTTCCTGTGTTCCAGTGTTCAGAAGCTAAGGAGTTTTGTCAGCTTGTTCAGGTAGTCTTAATTAGGCTGTCCTCAGAGGACCGTTTGTGTATGTGAGCATACAGCTGCTAAATTTGGGAATGATGCAAATAGAAGCAAAGGGAATATGAAGCCAAATATTTTATGGGGAGGCGTGTTGCTAGAGGGCAATGGCTTTTGGACTTACCTGGCTTTAATAGCTGACTGTCACAGATAACAGCAGGTGCACCATCTCTGCCACTTGGCTGACAATTGACGTGCTCATATTTTAAAGGCCTAAGGAGTCCACTCTGGATGGGCAGCTGGCACCTGCTTAACTATGCTGAGGTGGTTCTGCCTGGTTTGCTGCATTCATCAGCAAGTCTAAACTCTCCCACAGCCTTGGGGGTCTTCCAAAGAATGTGCTTTATTGCTCAACCACTGTGCATTTGTTGCTCAATATTTTTTTTTTTTTTGCAGTGGTTTCAGATAAGTTGACTGCTGCAAAGGGTAATGGAGAATCTGCTGGGGTTACCAGCTGTCATTTCTACAAGATTCAGCTTCTGATGCAGGAATTAAAAATTTAGCACCTACCAAAATCTCTACATCTGTACAGATGTTGCAGTGGTAGCATCCTGGGTCATACCGTTTACCTCTTTTAGCTCTCATCTTGTACAGATTCATTCTTAATCCGTCATTATGTTGCTTTGGTTGCTTATATTGACTTGCATTTTTTGTTTTTGTTTTTTATAAAAATCAGCTTGATAACAATCTCGTAAAGTTGCCCTGAAAAATTCTACAAAAACTAATATGATGAAACCATGACTACAACTCCCTCTTAAGGTAGACCAGTTACAACACATTAATGTAATGCTGCAACTCCCTTTCTCTTTTAATCCTGGTTGAAAGCCCAGAATCACTTTCTTTTTAGGATTGCTAATAAGTACTATAGTTAGCGCTCTCCCTTCATTGTGCACAAAGCCAGTTTGCTTTTCACTGTCCTGTTAGCCAATCCAGGGAAACAGTAGAGGTTTGCCACAGATTTGCTACTGTACAATTTAGCTTAAGGTCTGGTTAAAAATACTTTCCTAAGAATCAAAGAAAGGGATAATGGGAGAAAAAGAAGAGAGGAAAAGAAATGGTAAGATGTTTGTTATCCTTTGCTCTTGGAAGCGAAGCTGCATATTTGCACATTTGGCCAAAGAGATTTAGCATGGAACACACTCAGATATCAAAGAATGGGGTGCTGAAAGAAAAGGGAACTTGTTCTGTAATTATTATGATTAGGCAGGATAGACCAACACCCTCTTGAATAAGCTCCAGGCAGGAAGGCAATCTTAGCACCCTTTGCATCTTAGGATATTGTGGTAGGAAGATGTTAATGAAAAAAAGGATTGCTTTCTGAGCTGCCTGAAGCCTCAAAGAGATCAAAGGATTTATCAAATTCCATGTCTGAAACTGTTTTTATTTCAATGCCCTGAGCAGAATGAGACTAGCTATGAGGACCGTGTTGTTTGTGTATTTGTTTTTATTGTTTTTTTTTTAGTGAAAGAAAAAATACTAGGCAAGACTTCTCCTCCATAGTAAAGGAAACAGGACAGTGAAAACGATTAGCCCACTTACACTTATTTCTCCCTGGCATGGACACTTCTACTATAATACTTATTTTTCCCTGGCATGGACATGTAATGCATCTACAATAATACATCTACTGAGTTTGGCATTGGTAGTACTGTAATATTTAAGTTTATAGAACACGGGTCTCCAACCCCCGGTCCGTGATCCGGTATCGGGCCACAACATGCCAACAATTGGTCCGCACAAACAAGCAAAGCCCCCATCTGCAGGATGCAGGCAGCACACGAAACCACACCCCCTCCGGTCCACGGAAAAATCTCTCTCCATATAACTGGTCCTTGGTGCCCAAAAGGTTGGGGACTGTTAGAGAATACAGAATAACAGAATTGGAAGGGACTTTGGAGGTCTTCTAATACAGGGCTTTTCAACCTTTTCCCCCATTGTACCACTTTTAGGATATGGCAACATATGAGTACCACCAGTCGCCTAGCAAGGTGTCAAAAACGTGATGACCAAAAAAAGGAAAAAAGTGATAAAGTACAGGTAGTCCTCAACTTACAACAGTGACTGTTTGAAGTTACAATGGCACTGAAAAAAGTGCCCCCCAAGCCACAGCCAAGCAAGACACGTGCCTGCCTGCCCGGCGGCGCTCTTCCTCCTGTCCGAGGTTTTCATTGTTGTGAGCATTTCTGTTGAGGATTGGCAGCGGGGGTGGGGTGGGGGGTATTTGGTTTTTATTCCCTCCATCTGCTGGGTGGTTGCAGCAGGTTTTGATCACTTCACATGATCCTGTGACACCGTGACCGTCATAAATATGAATCAGTTGCCAAGCATCTGAATGTAAATCACAAGACCCTGGAGATGCTGCAACATTCCAGCTGATCGGTGCTTCTTCTGGGCTCAGCAGAAGTGCCAGGATCAGTGCTGCTTTCCAGCTGATTGGTGCTTCTTCAGGGCTCAGCAGTAGCACCAGGATCAGTGCCGAGCTCCAGCTGGAGCCTGGCGCTGATCATGGCGCTTCCGCTGAGGCCTGACAGCCCTGCAGCTCCAGCCATCTCTCACTCAGCCTTGTGCAGTACTGCCACCAGTTCAGCTCATTCCCCTTGCCCACTATCACTTTTCTAGGATGGTCACGTACCACCTGCCAGATGCCAGTGTACCACAGGTGGTACCCTTACCACTGGTTGAAGAGCCCTGTTCTAATCCAATGCCCTGCTTGAGCAGGAGACCCTATACCAGGGGTTGGCAACCTCGGCTCTTTTATGACTCATGGATTTCAACTCCCAGAATTCCTGAGTCAGCAACAACAGTCAGCATAGCTGACTCAGGAATTCTGGGAGTTGAAGTCCATGAGTCATAAAAGAGCCAAGGTTGCTTACCCCTGCCCTATACTTATAGTCATAGAAGACTGCTATCATGACGTCCCTACTCCTTCCCTTCATTAGACGAGACCAGGGTTCTCCAAACTTTTCAGTCAGAGGGCCGCATTGGGCATTTTGCAAAGATTCAAATATGGGGGGGGAGAGAAACAATTTTACAAATGAGTGAATAAAATTTAATTGAATAAGTGTGTCTTTATTTTGCTCAATGTAATATGACACATGCACACCCTCTTCCGTCAGAGAAACTGTTTCTCTGAGGGAATCCTACCTTCCTTTCCAAACAGTGGTGAACACAGCCCTGCTTTCTCTCCCTGCACTGCTTGGAAAGGATGGGAGCACAGCACATGGGAGGAGGTGGGTGGGCCAGAAGGAACCTTCCGGAGAGCCGTAGGTCTCTGGACTAGACATTCCCAGTCCCCACAAATGTTCATTATATGGTTTAATCTCCAGTCCCCTGATCCTCTTTGTTGCTGTTTTCTGAATACTTTCTAGAGTCCCAATGTCTTTTTTGTATCCTGGTGACCAGAACTTAGTATTCCAAGCGTGGTCTTACCAGTGCAGTATAAAACGATACTAACACATTTGAAAGTTTTGGAGACACAACTTGATGATGAGCAAATCTTTGGACTATTTGAGTTGTAAAAGATGTTTGCTGTTTACTGTTAGTGGTTTGTCTTCTTGCTGAAAGATAGCATCAGTCCTGTTTGCTTGTAAACAATGAAGGAGTAGCTCTAGAGTTCCAGGAAGACAGAGCCAATAGCAGAAGCATCTCTGGCGTAGCTTATTACAAAATCATCTTTTATTGAAACTTAAAAAGGATCTGCCTGAAAACATAAATCAGTCTCTTGATAGTAAAGAAAATAGGTGTTCTGTAGCGGATACAAACTTTTTTAAAATGCATATTTTGTCTGACCACTCTGAAATGTCCCTCTGAGATTGGCGAGACTGAGAAATATGACTTAGCAAAGGTATGGGTTGCCACCATTTGGAGATGTCCCTTAGCTTGCTACATCACCCTGCTCCCAAACACCATTATCTTTTAAGAAACTTCTTTGGGAATAAATAAGTTTACTACACATGTACTTTAGCAAAAAGTATAAGGGCATAGAGAAAAACGAGAATTCTGTCCGCTTCCATTTCTCCTGGAAGGATTGGAAGGATGTTTGTGATAGGTTCCATTAATGATGTCTTCATATTGGGAATCATTTTTCTTTCCTTGCAGCTCACCCCTGGGGGCAAGGCAGCCCAGGCAGGGGCTGGAGTTGGGGACTGGGTGCTCAGCATCGATGGACAGAGCACCAGCACCATGACCCACATTGAAGCCCAGAACAAGATCCGTGCCTGTGGGGACAAACTCTCTCTAAGCTTAAGCAAGTAAGTAGCTCTTAGGCTGATGCTGGGCTTTTTCTTTTAGGAACATAATGTACATGTTGGAATAATTATAACTTGGTTTCACCCAGATGTTTATTTCATTCAGACTCAGTTCTTTTGGATAGCAGTTGGCTTGGCAGCTTTCATTTTGGAATTTAATAAAACAAACAGCCACCTGCCTAAATTTTACATCCTGAAGGTAAAAAGGCTCCTGAGTAAGACCAAATTGATAGGAAATGTAATCTGTATGTTCTATTTTTTTCCCCCCACAAGGCTTCCCAACCATCACATTCCCTGTTTAAAAACTTAAACCAAAGTAATAAGCAGTGTAGAAAGTTTTAGATCAGAGCATCTGGATTTTTAAACTAGGACGCCAGTTGCTCCTGTAATAAAGGTTCATTAGAATTAATAGGGGAGAAATCTATCTAGCTGGCTGCTTTAATTAGTCCATGTATTGTATTTTACTGTTTAAGCCCCTGAGCATTTGAAAGATAAAGCAGTATACAAATTTAATATTAATAACAATAATAACCCCAAAAAAGTGGCAGCTCAGTATCCAGAATTGTTAAGCATATTGTAGAGCCTCTAGACAATTTCCTGCATAATCAGTGTGGCTCTGATTCCAGATGTGCATTTTCTCCTGCAGAAAAGGGCTTTGACTGTCTTGTAATAGCGTGACTTCACATGGATTTCAGCCAAAGTATCCAAGCTGATTTCAGGCTACACAAAAGGGATTCCTAGATGAAAACAGGTGTGGATTTGAAATAATAAACAATTAGCAAGCACAGTGGTGGTGGTGCTGCTTGGTATTTCCTGAAAGTTTAGAGGCAGGGAAAATGCCTGCCAAAACAGCCTCACTTGTTAATTGTTTATTATTTCAGTTCCACACCTGTGAAACAGATAGCATGAAAAACGTTATAGCCAAAATAAATGTGGGCTGGCCAAAGCCTGGCAAATAAAATTATTTTTGGATGAACACAGGGCTTGTTGTTGGATTTCCTTATAAGGATAGCTTGGAAGTTGTAATTGGTACAGAATGTAGTTAGTAGGATGACCCTCTTATTTGCTATGAATTCTGAAACCCTTAACAGTCAAACATTCATAATTGTAGTTACTTGCATAGACTAAATGATAGGTGCTGGAAGCTCTGTTTTTATCACTGGTGGACTTCTTAATGTGATGCCAAAATTATGAAATGCTATCCCAACAGGCTTTCTGGTTTCAGAAAAAGCAGTTTAGCTGTTTTTAGCTGAGTGACTTTTAAAGTTTAATTTTTCTGCTATCTAATATAAATTTAATTGAAGTTTATCTTAATATAAAAACCAAGTGAAAATTAAGACTACAGAGAAAGTGAGCAGGGAAAAGAAAGGGGGAAAAGATGTGAGAGAAAGAAAGAAAAAAACTTTTTTGGTGCAGTTAAGATACAGAGGAAAGATACAATCTCAGCTTTCTACTTTTATATAATTAGTAATTATATAAACAACTATAAATTTTATAGCAAACTAATCTAATCATCAAAACCCAAAGTCAAAAATCTATTTTTTTCCATTTTGTGCACAAAATCCAGAAGCAGTCTCCAGGTAGAAACAAAATTGGATACATTTTTTTCTTAATTAGAACAGTTAATGTTGCCATCTCTGTTAGTTCCATCACTTTTTCCACCATTCTTTCATTGCGGGAACTGACGTATCGTTGAAATTTTGCATATGTAAAATTCTAGCTGCAGTGAAACTATATAATAACAAAGCTCAATTTTTTTCAAGATCTTTATACAATAATCCTAAAAGGAAAACTTCTGCTTTCAGTTATATATTTGTTTTAAGAATACAGAATTACTAAAATATGCACTGTATGTGTACATATGCCATAATATATATGTGTTCTTCATAAGAACAATGTTTTTTTGTCCTCTGGAAGAAGGAAGAGTCATGTGACAGGATTCCCCTCCCCCAGAAACATAACATGAACTCAAACAATCCATAACTGCAGTACAAAAATGGCAAGAACTATGGCAAAAAAATCAATAAAATTTATTCCATGTTATCATTTAAGGGACAATTGATATAAAATATTTTACAGATGGTTTATGACTCCATCAATAATTTTCAAGTTGGATAAATCATATAAAAATCAATGTTGGAAATGTTACAACAAAGAAGGAACATTTTATCGTATGTGGTGGTTATGCCAAAAACTCAACAGTATTGGAAAGCAATACATCAAAATATTCTGAAAATCCTAAAAATAAAATTTAAACTGAAACCACAAACATTTTTATTGGATACAACCCCAGAAAAAATAATAATCAAAAATGTTACAATTTACTAAGATATGTGCTGACAGTTGCAAGAACAAATTTGGCACAACATTAGGAAAGAGGGCCTTTGCTGACGATACCAGATTGGAAGGCCATAATTGGAGAATGTGCAGCAATGGCAAAATTGACAATATATATTCATAATAGAAGTCTGACCCCATGTGTGCAGTAATGACTTCCATATAGACTGCATGTTATACAGCAGGGCAAAAATTTAGACATTTAAAATAACGGTTTTTAGGAAGGAGGTTATGAGATTAATGAAAAAAATAGATGAAAGAATTGAATCAGATACTAGCAATAGCCTTATATGTTTAATAAGTTTGTACTGTATATCTAAGTTATGGTTAGTAGTTGGGGAAATATCTGAAAGGGAAGTGGAGAAAGTGTTATTAGAAAGTTACCCATAATGTTTTTTTTTATTTATGTCTTATTAGTTGTTGTTTCTTCTGTGTTATTCAATTGTTACTATCCAATATAGTCCTTTCTTTAAAAATCTTGTTTGTCAGGATTCTGTCATAATGCAAAAACACAGGAAAGCACATATATCTGATTTATTTCAGTTTCATCTTATGTCCCCTGTTATTTTCAGTCTGCAACTATACAGGCAGTCCTCATTTAGCGAACACAATCGTGACCAGACACTTGGTTGTTAAGCAAAGCAGTTGCTAAGTGAAACCACTACTGTGCTTACAATCTTACTTCAGCTTTCCTTTGCTTTGTGGATCTGTGAAGGACATAAATGATGATTGCTTACAAAATTACTTGTTCAACACTGTGGTAACTGAATGATTGCTATCCAAGGCAGTTTTTAAATGACTATAGAATCTTTGCTACTCTTTTGGCAGTATGGAAGTACATAGAGTATGCAAATACCCAAGGTGATATTTACAAGAGAGTGATCTGAAGTGATGAAATCGTTTTTTGTTTTTTTTAAAGAGAGTAGGTTAGAATGCAAAGGAGAAATACTATTTCTTCACTGCAGGAATTTCCAGACAGTCTGGGGGGGGGGGGGAACAGACACACTCATTGAACTATCTAAATTCTCATGACTGTTCTCTTCCAAAGCTTCCTTTCCAGATGTCTTATGGTGTGAAAGGAGCTGCATTGCATATACTAATTTGCTTTAGCTCTCCATGGTTACAGATGGTTGCAGCAACGTAGATCCCTTGCAGCGAAGGTGCTGATTTGCAGAAAGCTTTGATTGTAAATTGTACAGCTGAATTCAACTTCTTAGGCAGTGCCTCTGTTAACAACCTTTTTCTCTTGCAGAGTCCAGAATCTCCTAGGCAAACCTCAGAAGGTGCGTCTGTGGCTGTCTCTATCTGTGTCTCTCACTTCTCTTTGGGAAACTGTGAAATAAGTTTGGAGGTGGCCTCTTAGTTACAAAGAAAACTGCAATGCATAGTTACATAATGGGTTTCAAAAGCAGGATAATAAATGTCCATATATAGTTTGGATAGAAGTGTGAAAAATATTCCACAGTTTGAAAGCTCTGATCATGCAACATTTTGCAACTAAGCCAGACAATCTTTGTTCAGATAGTTATTTTAATACCCAAAAGAATAATAGATATAGGTGTCTCGAGGTATATAGAGAGCCTTCTTAGTCTAAATCAGGGGTAAGCAACCTTGGCTCTTTTACGACTCGTGGACTTCAACTCCCAGAATTCCTGAGCCAGCCATGCTGGCTCAGGAATTCTGGGAGTTGGTCCACGAGTCATAACAGAGCCAAGGTTGCCTACCCCTGGTCTAAATGGACATCCATGCTGAGTTCCTGAATAATTCCAACTGGAATCTCTCAGCAATGAGTAGAAATGCTGTGTTTGTTTGTTTTTGCATCTGGCAAACCACCCGGAGTCATTTTATGAGGGAGATGAGTGGTCGCTAAATATGATACAGATAGTCCTCAACTTGTGAACACAGCTGAGCCCAACATTTCTGCTGCTAAGCAAGGCAGTTGTTAAGTGATTTTTTTCTCTCTCGTTTTATGATCTTTTTTTTGCCACTGTTGTTACGCAAATGATTGCAGTTGCTAAGTGAATCATTCGGTCATTAAGTAAATCTGGCTTCCCCCATTGATTTTGCTTGTGGGAAGCCAGCTGAGGAGAAATGGTGATCACATGACCCCAAGACAGTGCAACTGTCATAAGTACATGCCAGTTGCCAAGCATCCAAATTCTGATCACGTGACCACGGGGATGCCACAACAGATAGTTGTAAGTGTGAAAACTGATTATAAATCACTTTTTTCAGTGCCATTGTAACTTCAAACAGTCACTAAACGAATGTTTGTATGTTGAGGACTACCAAGTATATAAATAAATAAATTCTCCTCTCCTTATACTCTTTCTTAGAATTAATCTAAGAATTAGAATTAATCTGATGTTTTAATTTTATCTAAGTGTGATGTTCTGATATAGGATGGCAATTTAAAGAACTATAGAACACAGTCCCTTCCCCCCCCCTTCCTGAATTTCCAGCTCACTGCTCATTGTTAGCTTATTTTTAAATTGTACTTCAGAAGTCAGAAATTGGATTTGGGCATTATCCTGGTGTAGCTGTGTACAATTCTCAAGGACAAATGGGGATATAAGCTCGAAGCTACAAGTGGGGGGGGGCATGTTGATCCCTGAATCAGGGTCTTTGCTTCTTGCAGTAGTGAGGCAAATGGTCAGATCCTGGCCTCTCCAAGATCTTGGTAGGGCTGCCCTGGAAGACCCCATTCATTTTGTCAGGTCCATTGGTGGAAGAGGGAAACGAGATGAGGCTTACAGAAAGAGACTTGCATGGTTTGGTTTTGCTCCTTAAAACGTCAGCATGTGCCCGTCAGCATGTGCCCGTGTAAACGTCTGTTTCCGCTGTTTGGATGGAAAGCAATTGATTACCTTGATTGCTTCCCTGCAAACCCTCTGGGCAGCCATAGAGGGGCCCTTTCTGCCCTTGAAGGGATTTGCTGAACAAGGCAGTGCCCTTTTAGGAATAAACAGAGGCAGAGAGAGATGGACCACTGGCTTACGTTGCAGCTGCTCTGTGCCAGCTTGTATTTATTGCCTTGGTGCTCAAAGAATGGCCTGGCTTCCATCCAGGACACTGTGGCCTCTGGCTCTGCCTGATTATTGAGTGCTCTTGCATGCTGCCTGCCATGCCAGCTTGGGCATTGTTGTTTTGTGTTTTATCTAGGACGCACTCCCTTCTTCTCAGGTCCCCAAATATAACTTCACTCCCAGTTCTGCCCTCAACAAGACAGCCCGGCCCTTTGGAGTTAACCCTGCTCCAAGCACTCAGCCCGTGCGGGTGACGAAACCCGTGCAGTATGTACCTCCTGCATCCGTCTGCACCACACAGCACAATGGGTATGTTGCTGTGCTTCTGACCATCTGGGATGGGGTGAGGGTGGAGTAGTGATGTGATTGCGAAACTCTGCACACTGGCCCTCCTCTAGACACCTGTGGATGCAAACTTGTGCATGTGTGGCTTTCCACTGAGGGGCACCTGGTGGGTAAGAATGCCCCTCCTCCCCATTGAAAAATGTAAACCTCTAATGTTGCAGTGACCTCTTGTGGCTGGAAAAAGATATTGCAATTCCTAAGTGAAACCATTCCCCAATTTAATGATGTTCATTCAGTCCAGAATGTCAGACTGGCAGCCCAGTAAATTGTGATTTTAATCGTAACAACTCACTTTTTAAAATTGAATCTTCTTACATGTTCTGGAAAACCCAATAGATGAATTTGGAAATATAATGCAATGTCCCAGGGAAAATGTTCTATTGTACATGTAATTCTTTTTACCAACCAATCGCAAATAATTCTTATCTCAGATAGTTTGATTGTAATGGTAGCATATTATAGCTAGTCAGCTGCATCTACACATTCATTATTGCCTGTCTTTATAAAATAGGGTAAATGTAAGTGGATGCAGGATGGATGGGGATTTATTAATTCGGTAAAATTAATAAACTTTGGAAAAGGAGAGGGGAAAAGAATATGCTTGGAATCAGCAATGTTGGCTTGCTTTTTCTGCCAGGATGAGCTGCTAAAGTGTGGAAGACAACCCTAAGTGCTTAACTGCATGCAAGTTGTTGGCAGTTCAGAGGTTGCTGAAAATAAAGATGCTTTAGGCGAGCTCTTCTACCTAGGTGTATTCAGCTGGTTTCTTACTTTATTTATTTAAGCTAATTAGTGGTACTGGTGGGATAATGAGAATACTTAGTTGTTTCAGCATTATTTCATTTCCCTAGCAAGGGATAGCTTTCTGTGCAACAATTTCTAGTACAGAAGAAGTTGTGAAGACTCAGTGGTGAACTGACCAGGTCTTTCTTTGTAGTTTTCAGTAAAGGGCTTCTATAAACTTTCTGTCACTTGTATGCAAATATAACTAGTGAGGACTACTCTTAATTTGTTTGGAGAATTTTTAGAAAGTAAGGGTTTTTTTCTTTGGATGGGAGACTCTTGTTCTAGTTTTTGTTTGGGATTGCACCACACAACATGCTTACTCAGCATTGTTGTAGGCCAGTGATGGCGAACCTATGGCACGCATGCCAGAGGTGGCACTTGGAGCCCTGTCTGTGGGCACGCGTGCTGTCGCCCCAGCCCCACCTCCCCCTGCGGCCCCCTCCTCACCAGCAGCCCCCCTGGAGGAGAGTCATCCCCAGGCTCAGCCTGCGCGGAATAGCGCAGCCAAGAACATGGCAGCCGGGACAAGACTCTGCCCTCATGCTCCTTCGCATGCTGATGCGGGGTGCGGGCAGAAGGCATGGCTGCAATGGTGCTGCAGGGCCGCCTGGGCGATCTGTGGCGGGCAGTGGAGGCGGTGGGTGGCCCTGCGGGCAGGCGGGGTGCGAGCGGAGCAGGGGGCGGCAGGGGTGGTTTTGGGGCACTCGGTCTCTAAAAGGTTCGCCATCACCGTTGTAGTCTATGATGATTGGTGATTATACCTGTCATGATTTAATATACTCTTTCTCAAATTGGAGCCCTCCAAATATGCTGAGGTTTCAGTTCCTGGTTAAGATGGATGTCATATTAGAGATAACAAGTAGGGGGATCCAGCGTTGGAAGGGGTGTCAATGAAATCAAAATGGGTGATCACAGCCTTGCTCCTTTTTACTTGCCTGCAGTGCATGTTAAAAAGGGCTGGGCTTCAATCAGCTGGTTGTGCCTGCCATTCTGCTGCTTTGACTCCCTTGTGGATGCTCTGATCGAAGGCCACCTGTTGCCTACTCAGAGAGTAGGGGAGCATTGTTTTCTCTGCTTTTGATTCTAATCTGTCTGCCTTTCCTGTCTTTTTTCTCTTTCCCTCTTTTTCTCTCCTGCAGGCACAGAATCCTGACAAGTCAGTAAGCTTTTGGTCTTCTCTGTAGCCTTTTTGCTAATTTGCATGATGTTTTTCCATGTCAGGTTTCTCCTTTCCCCGATCACCCCATTTTTGGGGGGTGGAGTATGCTGGTGAAAGGAGTGGGGAATTCTCCTCTCAAAGAAATCCTAAGTTTGTTTTGATGGGAGGGGGACAGAGAGCTTCAAAGCTCACAATGGGCTTAGATGGGCTGTTTTCACCTAGCAAGAAAAGCAAAATTCATTTGCACCTTCTTGATCAAATCCTCTTCATGCAGGAAGGTCCTGTTTTTGCCATTTTCCTGGGAATTGGAATAATTGGAGGTGAAAAGACCTCTTTATATGGCAAGAAACCATATTACCCTAAGGTTAAAGTTACAAAAAAGGTTTGATTTTTAAAAGAGGGTTCTGGTGCTTCTGCCTGCGGCTGGGACAGCAGTCTGGTGCACCTCTTCCTAGTCTACATTCATCTATAACTGTGACTGCCTGACCTAGATAAGGGTGAGGAATTGGTGCTAAATTTGGCAGGGAGCTTGTGGCTTCTCTCCTCTGCAGGGAAGCTGCAGATATCTCCAGGGACATTAACTGCTCCCTACGAGCAGCAGACTTGTGAATGTTCTTGCTGTGTTGGGAGGGAATAATATTTTCTTACCTGACTGGTACTTTGCTTTCTCTTATTCTTTGCTATTCCTGTCCTCAGGGTGATTGCTCACCCACCTGAGGTGAAGGCGGTGCCTGCAGATAACCCACCACCTGATTATGGAGATTACTACCTGGAGGACCAGTAAGACTTGGGAATAGAGTCCAGGGCTAGGATGGCTATGTCAGTAATGTTTGTACTGCATGTGGATGTTCTTGCCTCATAGCTTGCAAATGTTCCTCCCAAAAGTTGCGGGGAACAACCCCTGAGACACCCATGGCTACAATTCAAGTATTTAAAAAAACCCCAAAACCTCGGGTTAAGAGGATATATTAGAGTGTCACCTGGCAAACTAGGCCACTTTATGACATGGAAGCTCAGGATTCAAGGCCTATCTCTTACAAAGCCAAACATTAGTCCAGCTAGCCCTGTGACTGCCTAATCTAACAGCACTGGAGCAGTCCTGTTAACAAACTCAGTGCTTTGTTAACTCAGAATCAACACACCATCCCATGAAGCAGTTCTTATTTAACTCTTGATTACAGTTTAACTGATTACTGTTTTCCAGTCCTCAAAAGAAAATCCAGTTTTCCCTCTTGAGGTGATTCCTTTGTGGGATCAGATATTTTCAGGTACCTCTCTCTTGAGCCATTCTTTAGGTGAGGATTAAAGTGTTCCTGCTTTCTTTGATTGTCCTGTTTTCTCTACCTCAGTGTTTCCCAAACTTGACAATTTTAAGGCATGTGGACTTCAACTCCCAGAATTCCACAGCCAGCATTGCTGGCTGTGGAATTCTGGGAGTTGAAGTCCTCATGCCTTAAAATTGTTAAGTTTGGGAAACACTGCTCTACCTGTACTGCTTTGCATGTCCTTGGGTTTATAGTTCCCCTCCGTCAAATGGGGAGCCTCAGCCAGGCCTTGAAGGCTGTGAAGCGTCCTCCCTCTTTCCCTCCTCCCTCCCTCCCTCCTTCCCACCCTCCAGCCAGATTGCAATTTACAATTCCGAATGGCTGTTGCGTTTACAGCAGACAACCAGAAGGTTTTTGGTGGTGTTCAGGGTAGGAAGCACTAGTTTTTTTGTAGCCTTTCTGTAGATGGGGGTTGCCAGGACACACCCACATAAACCCCACACTCACACACCCTTAGCCCCACACAAATAGTCTTTCTTTGCTTCTCGGGATTTTTGAAGGAATTTCTTACAATCTGCTGGCTGTTCTGGCACACATTTTCCCCTTATTCTGGCCTGCAGAAGGATTTCCATGCATTGATTGGGTTAGGGAAAAAAGAAAAAAAACAAGGTCTGAACTTTGCTGACGTTTAAAAACTAGTCGGGACAAAACAAAATGAGATTTAGTTCACAGTAAGAGCTGTACAGGCAGACACTCTATATTTTAAGGGTTGGCTTTAAAAATGGCCACAGAAAGGGCTGAAGACATTGATAAGAAAGGACCTAGAATAAGTCACTTCACAGCTACCACTTATATTCCCTAATCAGCGCCTTCATATTCGGAAGCAGTACATCCTAATCAGAAGTGAGAAAATGTCTGCAGCTTTACATCAGGGATAGTCAGCTGTGTGCGGCTCCTCAGAGCCCATCTATGTTCACTGCTGAACAGCGTTTAGAAAATAATTTGCCACTGATGCTAACAGTGACATACCAGCTCTCTAGCCTTCCCTAGTCAGGTGATCAGCCCCCTGATGAAAAGGTTTCCCTTCTGCTTGAAGGAAGTGCAAATATGAGAGCTTCCTATTTCCTCCCAGAGTATGGTCCGCCTAGTCTCCCTTCCTCCCAGTAAGTAGAATCACGGGAGCGGGGAAGGATATTAAAAGCAGTCTTCGGAGCCTTCACCCTTCATATCCGTTAAGATTGTGACTCTCTGGACTGTCAGCCATCTGCAATTCTAGCTGATGTATTTCTTTAGCTACAGAAAATTAACCACTGTGGACAGACGGATGGGGTGAGCTTCAGGATCTCATTATTACTTCTGAAGGACAGGCTGTTTATCCGGCCCTTTAGAGTGGCCTTGTCTTGATTCATTGCTGTGTGTATGTGTGTGTGTTTGTGTGCAATACATGGCTGGCAACTTCTCTTTTTAGTGCAGTTCTGGCTGAGTGCCCTGGTCTGTTTGTAGGCACTCTCTGCGGCTGGTGAGCCTGCCGGCTTTCTTTCCCAGCGATGCCAGTAAAAAGAGACTTGTTGAGGACACAGAGGACTGGCGACCACGGACTGGGACTACTCAGTCTCCTTCCTTCCGCATTCTGGCCCATCTCACAGGAACAGAATTCAGTAAGTGCCCCTTCGGTGGAAACTATTTAAGGGCCATGGCAATTTTCCCATCCCTGACAGTGGCCAGTTCCCAGTAGAGACTCAGGAGAAATTGCAAGCTTTTCAGATCTGCCCCTTCAAGAAACGGGTGCAGTGGTGCCTGAGTTTTGGTGACAGCTCTGGTCCTTCTCTCGCTCAGTCTCCATGGTCAGTGTGAGATGCTTGCATTGTCCCTCCTCCTCCTCCTCCTCCTCCCTTGTATTCCTGCGGATGCCCCCTTGGCCTTATGCAATCTGTCTGGGGATGCAGCTAAATGTTCTGCAGGCATCTCCTTCTGCTTCCCTCACCCCAACTACTATGCTCAGACCCCATCTCTCTTGGGGATAGTCCTAATTAAATCTTGTTTTTTCTTTCCATCTGCCAACCTGATTGGCCCAAACTCTGATTCTCTCTCTTTCTCCTTTCCTTCTGCTGCTGCCAGTGCGAGACCCAGATGACGAGCATCTTAAGGCGGCCAGGTAAGAAGGGCCAGACCTTTGGGGCGTGGATTTCTTAGGGTTAGATGGAGGATTTCTGCTGGAGTTCCTTAAGTGCTATAGGGATGCCAGCTGAGATAAGTTTAGGGTTTCAGACTTGCTTATAGAGATACTTTTTCTCTCTTATCACAAATAGTTCGTACAATACATCCATAGTTAACCATGATTTATCAAGCCAGTTTTCTGGGTTCACATGACAGACTAGATCATAAGCTAATGGCTTAAATCAGGGGTAGGCAACCTCGGCTCTTTTATGACTCATGGACTTCAACTCCCAGAATTCCTGAGTCAGCTAGGCTGACTCAGGAATTCTGGGAGTTGAAGTCCATGAGTCATAAAAGAGCCGAGGTTGCCTACCCCTGGCTTAAATTGTTGTTTAATTGTTACTGATTTGAGGTGGTGTATGAATAACTTGCTTCACAGCATTATTGTCTGCTGGGGGAAAGAGAGGGGGGGGGAGAGAGGGAGAGAGAAGTCCTTTTTTTCCTCCTTGAGGATGGGGTACCATCGAAACAGGTTGGGCATTGTGTGACGCGTGTTCTGCATGCGCTCTGTTTCTCTCTCCTCTTCCTCCCCCCCCCCTCATTACTGTTTCCTCTCCACTGTCTGTCTTCCCTTTCATTTTCTTTTTCCAGAGAAAAATTTGTCCAGGAACTCCAGAGCCCCCGTTACACTCACCTGCGTGACTGGCACCACCAGCGATCAGCTACCTCTCTGAATGTGCTCTCCTAGGATGTGTAGACTGATCTTGTCTTGCTCTTCTGACTCAGCCCTTCTGTTGATTGTATGCCCATGCAGATGTTATAGGGAAGGCAGATTTCTGCCTGCTTCCTTCCGGCTGTTGAGTGTAACTTGAATATAGGAAGTCCCTCCCCCCCCCCAACTCCTGGAATGTAACGATTGATCTGTGCTGGAGAATGACTTAGTTAGGGATGAGAAATAAGCAGGAGACTTTTGTTTTACAGACTCGCACTTTGAATTCCACGCCTCACTTCCTGCACCTACGGAAAGAAACTTTAGGATCCAGCTTTACCATTGGAGAGGAGGGCTAGTTTCCCCACCTTAAAGAAAGGTTCTGATGCAAGGAAGCTATTTCCACTGAAGTGGGAATTATTTCCTGAATTAAGAAACAGCATGTACCCATATACAGCTGGCATTTTCTACCAATGCAAGAAAGATCATCTGGATTTCTCAGGCTGCGCCTTGTTTTTACGAGCTGTCAAAATTTTCCCTCCTGAACAAGCATTACAGGAAAAGGGGGCATTTTTAGCCATTTGTTTTTGTTTAGGCATTTATGACATTTATAAACTAGCCTCCTTCCAAGGAATGTAAGATCACATGCATGGCTGGCTCTCTGCCCTTTCCTCATAATGCAGGGCTGGGTGCAGGAAGAATGACTGGCCCAAGGAAACACAGTAGTGTAATTCGTGTTTGAACCTTGGTCTTAGTCTCCAATACCTGCACAGGTAGCTCTCAGTTTAACCAACTCAAAAATCTCCTTGGGCGGCATAGAATCTTGGAACAGTAAGGGCTGTACAGTCTACCTTTGCCACTTTCTGATATAGTTTCTCAGCACTGGACTGGAAATGGAGAAACACTCTTTTCCAGATAACCCCTCTCCTTCTGCCTCTCCACAACTGTTAGAGAAAATGGGTCTTCCCTCCAGTCTTCCACCCTGCCATGGTTATCCTTTTCCTCTCCTTGCTCCCTTGGCTATGAGTGTTGGTTTGTTTGCTACCTTCAGGGAAGGGTAGACATTCCTCTCTGGGTGGGCTGTTGAGATCTTGAGAGATTGCAAAATTATCTTGCTGCCCGTAATTTGATTGGAGATGTCTATTTTGCACTTGATCTATACCCAGGCACCTTAATTTGCAAAAAAACAAAAACAAAAACCCAACCCTGTTTGAGAAGTGCCATACAGATGCTCTTGCTGGGATCAGAGCAGACTCAGGAAAAGGGGTGAATTGCTCTGTCTCTCTTTCTGCATCGAGAATGTCCTTTTCCCTAATGGAGGGCATGTTACATGCTCCTCTGTTGACTACAATCCTTGTTGTAAGAGTTTTGTCTATGTTTGGCCTATGTGCATGATACAGAATTATCTGTACAGTGCTATAGCCGCCTACTGTTGAGTGCCTGAAATGTAGTCAAGACTTTGCAGTCTAGATGGAGACTCGCTTACTACTTTCCATTTTGTAGTAAAAAATAAATGCTTCTATTCTCATATCTGGCTCCCGGCTATTTATTACTGTATAGGCTACTGAAACTGGAGATGCGGAGTCACTGGTGAACTAAGCCAAGCCGTGGGTGAGCAATTGTTCTTCACTGGAGTATCAGCCTATGTGTCATCTGAAAGGTCACTTAGGATGCAGTTGGGAAAGCAGTCTCTGTTCACTTGTAAGCTTGGAATTTTCTAACTTTCTGGTGCTGGTTGACATCAGTCTCTGCTCTAAGGCAGGGGTAGGCAACCTTGGCTCTTTTATGACTGGTGGGCTTCAACTCCCAGAATTCCTGAGCCAGCATAGCTGGCTCAGGAATTCTGGGAGTTGAAGTCCACGAGTCATAAAAGAGCCAAGGTTGCCTACCCCTGCTCTAAGGGTTAGGTCTGGAAGAACTAGAGAATTGCTGGCCTCTGTGGCAACTGGCAACCATAGGCTTGTCTCAAATAATCACTGCTCCTATGCATGCAGATTGGCCTATGTTGAACATTAATTTTCCTCAAAACGGTTGGGCTGTGATCCAGATGTGGAGGGCGTATCTATCTCTTTGTTGTGATCAGATCGTTTCCTGGTCCATTTGAGATGTACTGCTATTGAGGACTTCTGCGGACGCTGTAGCTTATTAAAATGGTCTGTCCAAGGCAGGCTTCTGGGAGGTACTTGAGAAATTTCTCTGCACCTGATAGGCAGTTTCATTTATTGCCAGGCATCAAGAGGTGATTCAGACTCTTGACAAGACTGTATTCACTACTCCTAGAGTATATCTTAAATTATTGAGGAACTCTGGGAGAGATGAAGCAGAAAATGTGACATTTGGGAGTGTTGACGGAGAAAAACAAGGACCCAACCTGAGTATATGGGTGGGAGCTCAAACTCAAACCTTTATCATGGCAGTAAAAAAGTGCAGCTCTCCATTGTAACATTTGTTTGTTTATATCCTGTCTTTGTTATTTTTATAAATAGTTCAAGGTGGTGAACATGTGCAACATATCCTCCTCTTTCTATTTTCTCACAATCACACCCCTGCGAGGTGAGCTGGGTTAAGGAGAGAGTGAGTGAATGACTCGCCTAAGGCACCCAGCTGGCTTTAATGGTTAAGGGAGGTCTAGAACTCACCGTCTCTGCTTTTTAGCCTGATGCCTTAATCACTAGACCAGGGGTAGGCAATCTTGGCTCTTTTATGACTCATGGCCTTCAACTCCCAGAATTCCTGAGCCAGCATGGCTAAGCATGGAAACCTCTCCTTTTTCCCTCAGCATGGCTGGCTCAGGAATTCTGGGAGTTGAAGTCCACGAGTCATAAAAGAGCCGAGGTTGCCTACCCCTGCACTAGACCAAACTGGCATAGGTGGGCTATTGATTAGAAGCTTCATTTTGTATGTCTAGGTCTCTCTTGGGGAGCATGAATAGGTGTAGTTCCCTCCTGGCCATTGTAGCTGTTTCACACAGCATTTTCTGATATATTTACTCAGAGTTGCTGACGTTTTGACTCTTTATGGGTGATGTCCAGTGAGGTGATTCAGGTGACACCTTACCATATCCTTTTGACCTACAGTATTGGTGGGGGCATAACTGGCTGGATTTGGAAGATGACAATGCCAGCAGTCTTGAAGGAGGCTTTTGTGGAGCCTCTCCTTAATAGATTGTGCCCGTACAGTATCTGGTTATTTTTGACAGCTATTTGACACCTCCTTTTAGGGAAGGTTTTTGAGTGGGTGGTTGGGAACAGTTCTCACACAATCAAAAACAAACAACTTGATACCAATCAAAAACAAACAACTTGATACCACATCAAAACATGGATCAAATGGAAACTTCCCATTCCACCCGAAAGAGAGTCTCTTGCAGGCATGTATACTGAGCAGGTAGGAGAAAGATGCAAGAATTTAAATATTGATTGGACTACAAGTAGAAATTGCTGGAATTGTTTTGCAATAGTTTCTTAGCTTTTCCACAGTAATTCTCATGTTCTTGTACCTTTGGGTGCTTGTTTATCTGTTCTAGTCCAGCTCACTGGGAAGATGTTTGTCAAGGATTCATTGAAGACCAGTCCAGTAGAAGCAGATTATTTGAATGTATTTCAGTTAAAGGTTAGTTTTGAGCATAGAACAGAGCTGGAGTTGGCCATGATTTTATTGAGATTTGCACGGAAGTGGTGCATCCTTCATGATCCTTTTAGAGACTTTTTTGTGGCTTCAGGACTGTTAATTGTGGGGAGTAGAAGCACTGTTTATAGTGGTACTGTTTCTTCCTCAATTCCAGTTGGTTGACATTAAGAGAATGGTTTGAGTCAATAATCATTCTCTTGTAGGGTGGCACAAGGTTTGGTCTTTTGCAATCTCTTCAGCATTAACATAAAGCTACTGGAAAAGGTAATCCACTGTTCAGAGGTGAGATAGTAAATATGCAGATGATACTTAATTGTACATTACTACCCTGGGCCTGCCAGAGATGCCACTGAAGCCTTGTCCTGATGTCTGGTGGTTTTGCGTCCTGCATAGAATAAAACAGAAGGTTAAAGATGAATCCACTGGTGAAGTTGCTGTTTGTTCACTGAGGTTCTTCGTTGGTTCCAGTGTTTTCTTGGGGAGGGACAGGGGACGGAGCACTATGCTTGAAGGAGATCTATATTTTGGAAACCTTCTGCTGGATGAGATGGGCAGATGTAATTAGTTGTGGTTAGGAGAGGTTTGTATCTTCATTTAGTATGCCAATCGTAACCCTATCTTGAGTGGACCATGAGGGAAACTTGGGCCCTTGTTAATGCTTGTTTGGAATACTGCAATGTGATCTGCATGGATTGCTTTTGAAGACCACTCAGTAACTGCAGTTGGCTCGAACACAGTGGTCCATTTGGTATCTGCCTTTGTGGGGGGCATGAGCATATTATATCTGTGCTATGAGTGGAGGACGAACTGCTGGTTTTAACCTACATTGTAAAATACTTAATAGCTTGCCACTTTGGTATCTTGCGAAACCATTTTCTCCAACTAAAATTGACCTATGTAATACAACTATCCTGGGGAAATATATTGATAGAATCCCATATTTATGAGATGAAGTCCAGGAGACACTTCTTAGTACTCATACAAGTATTCTGGATTATTCTAGATTAGTTCTGTCTGTGGTAGCCTTCCATAAATTAATGAACAATAGACTGTTGTTTATGACTTGATTACTGTTTCTTTCCTCATTTTCTTTATATTTATTTTTTTTACTAGGGATATTTTAATTATTTTGTCTGGTTTTTGTTGTGCTGCTAATAGCTGTGAGTCTTTGGAAGTTATGGCTGTATATATATTTAAGAAATAAGTATTTTCAGATGCTGTTTTATCTTGGCATCTTTGGGGGCAGAAACCAATCAGCAATCTGGAGTTTTCTTCCCCCCCCCTTTCCTCTGTGGACTGTTTTCTGAGGATTACATTATTAGGTAGTGAGTAAGAAACAGGATGGTGGTTGAGCCTTCTGTTCTTGTCATGGAACAGAGATAGAAAAAATACCCTTTGGGCAAATCATTGTATGAGTAGAGGTAAATGTGGATTTTTTTTTAAAGAAAAGGACAAAGTCCCTTGATGTAGAGCAGAACAAACCACTACACAGCCTCTGTAAGGTGGCAACATTCCGTTGTTTTCTTCAGCCTGGGAGGATGTGGGGCAGATCTTGCTGAGCTGTGCCACTTTTCACTGCAGGTGGGGGTTAAGTGTGAGGAACAATCTGTTAGAGAGAGAGAGAGAGAAAGAGAGAGAGAGAGAGAGAGAGAGAGAGAGAGAGAGAGAGAGAGAGAGAGAGAGAGAGAGAGAGAGAGAGAGAGAGAGAGCCTGGTGATACAAATATGTGAGATTCCTCAAACATGACAGTCTCTGATGTGAAGAAACGTTGCCTGTGTGTTTTAAAGGTGTGTGTGATCATTTTCAGATCTACAGTCCATCACTTTCAATCAGAATGGTAGAGTTTAAATAAAATCACATACCACAGTTGTCGTTGCATGGGATGGGTGGGGGCGGTGGCTGTGCACTTGGACCCTGAGGAGGTGTTTTCTTTCAGCTCACCCCAACTAGATATCTTAAGAAAGGGGAAGGAAATAATTGATGAGTATCCTGGGATATCTGTGTTTTAGTTTCCCTTCCAGGAGTGTGTTCTGCCTCTTTACTTCATTTGACATTTCTTCAGTTCATTATCTTTCTATTTTTGGTGAGCTTCTGTTCCGATGCAGGCCCACTGCTCCTTGCAGGCCACATTTTCTGCTGAAGTGCAGGTAGCATCTTGCTCTCTTCCTCCTGGATCATCTGCTGGGGAAGGCTGGCTTCAGGGCTGAGGTGGCTTCCTCTGTGATTCATCACACAAACACAAACTGCCACTTGATTTCATCTCTTCTCTGCCACAGACCTCCCTGCGGTAACATTTGGCCTTGAAATGTCCCCCTAAGCTCTACACTGATGATTTATTTCTACTCAATGATCTATGTATAAGCTGGATGTCCTTTTTTTCAGGCACAAGGCCTGAACATCTGGGGAAATCTAGCATGGTCCTATTATCCTGTTGGTTTGGGGTGGGCATATGATCCCATTGAAACACCACTGACTAGAGTTGTATGTGAAAACAGCACGAAGCTGTACCAAAGTATACATTACATCCTCACCCTGTCCTCCCAACATACTTTATCAGATACCACACATAATTTATCAGATATCACAAAAAGCACAAAAAGCATGTAATCGTCAAAGAGAGATAAAGGTAGCAAGAACTGGGTTGGCTAATTTTCTTAAAATATTAAGAATATAGTTCAGCATCAGTCCAGTATGATTCCGAAAAGATGGAGTGTTCTGTGGGTGCTTTCAAGCAGCTTGGTTTTTTTTTTACAAAGCTGCCTCCTGACAGTTACACCGGACACACAGCTTAAGTGTAAGTATAAGTTGCCAACTACTGTTGTTCCTGACCTAGTCGCAAATGCCTTCAATCAGAGGTACTGGATAACGTTCTGTGCCTTGTTTTGATCAGGATCTTCAATTCTGCTAACCCACCTGAGTGGGACAGTCCTACTACCTCCTGCAGGGAACCTTAGTGGAGTTTGCTCTTCTACAACATTAATACCAGGCACTGTTTCTATATCACTGTTTAATGACTCAGGAACTGCCCCAACAGAACAACTATTTAAGAGAAGTTTCCTTTATAAGCGTGCAAGATACACACTTTCCCCTACAGCCTTTGACTCAATCTTGACTGCCCTGGAGGAACATGGTGGGCTTGGAGAAGAGCTGGCTGTTGTTTCCTGTGTCTCTTTTTAGGAAGGGAACCTACATAGAGGAATAAATGTTCTTTCTTCTGAGTGTATGTGGAGACAACAGTCCCTGCCCTCAGCGCTGTGTACAGTAGTTCTTTAAACCTTCTTTTGAGGCTAGTTAAACTGAACTTTTCCTTGGTCCTGTGGAGGACAAAAGAAGGAAGCCACCTTTCCACATAAGTTGGAAGAATACTTTTCTTCTCAGCCAGCTTTGGACTTTCTGGGCTCAGAACTGACACTTGCCATTTAGTTTCATGGACTCCCCTTCCTTTACCTCTACTGTATTGGGGAACCAAACCAGCCAACAGGGGTCACTGCTACACAGAGAACGCAGCCTATGCTTTCTTTGTCCTGGTTTTAATTCCTGCCTGGGGAATGGGGAAGCCCCCCCCCCCAAGCCTAAGAATTTAGGTTGGGTTCTCTCCTCTGTTAAGTGTATATGAAGGGCCAGCCTCTGCTTGAGTATAAGGTAAAAGGCCAGGTCATTTGGAACTAATTGGTTATTTTGTAGCCAGGTCTCCATGCCAGATCTGCCTTCTGCACCCGTCTTGACAGTGGAACCTGAATATGGTAAGCAGGAGCCTTGCATGCTAGGGAGAAAGGCAGCTGGAATGGTGGTCCCTCAGCAGGAAAGATGAGGGGTGGGTGGGTGGGGGGGAAACCTCAAAGGAATGTCCTTTCCTGATTGTGGAAGCTGCTACAGCTTTCAACTCTGTAAAACACTGAGCTAATTTTTAATTGTTCTTTGTGCATGCATAGATTAGAAGCAGATTTATTTGCTTCCCTTAAGAAAAGCTGAAGGGTAAGGTATTCCCAGTGACCCACATAGAATCATAGCATTAGCCTTGCCCAGTTTGGATCACACAAACACCCCATAAAATGTGAAGTGCCAGATACCTTGTGTAATCCCTCCAGGCTCTACTGCTCCAAAGCCTGCACCTATCACAGGACCTTCTAGTCGTCCACCCTGGGCTGTGGATCCTTCCTTTGCTGAGCGATATGCACCAGATAAAACTAGCACTGTGCTGAGCACGCACAGCCAGCCAGCCACCCCAACGCCTGTGCAGAACCGCAACTCTATTGTCCAGGCAGCACAGCAAGCCCCGGAGAGTGCTAGCAAAACACCCATCTGCTATCAGTGCAACAAAATCATCAGGTAAGCCATGGAGTTTTTCATCTAGGGTGGGGGACTCATTGAGGTCTCCCCCTGCTGCTGTATTATAGCTCCAGCAGCCCAGCCAACATGGCCAGCGGTTAGAAATGCTGGTGATTGTACTTTAGCAGCATCTAGTGGGGCCTGCTGTTCCTCTCTTTTCTCTCTCATCACTTGATTGAGGAGATAAATGTACGAATTGCCTTTGCTAATGAGGATTGAATATCTGTGAAGTGGAGTCTCAGAAGTGTGCTTTTTGGCTTCCTGCAATGTGCGTAATGGAGGCTGGTGAGACCGCAACTGAAGAGCGTTGCTGCTAATCCTCCACCAACCCTTTCTCTTTGCTTTCCAACAGGGGGCGTTACTTGATGGCTCTGGGGCGCTATTACCACCCAGAAGAGTTCACCTGCTCACAATGCAGGAAGATGCTTGATGAGGGTGGCTTTTTTGAGGAAAAGGGCTCCATCTTTTGCCCCAAGTGCTACGACATGCGCTTTGCCCCCAATTGTGCCAAGTGCAAGAAGAAGATTACAGGGGTGAGTTCAGGTGAAACGTGGCCTTTGGGGTAGCAGGTTACAGCTTCGGGTATGCTGTAAGTTAGGGACACTTAGGAAAGCCTGATGACTCTTAACCTGTCAGCTGTTCCTGACTTACAGTTCCCTTCCTTCCAGTTCTTTAGTCAGTCTGGCTGAGCCAATGAGAGTTGGAAGTCCAGCAAGAACTGGAGGGCCACCCTTATTTATTTATTTTATGAGACTTATATACCGCTTTAAGTGCAAGCACTCTCTAAGCGGTGTACACCAGTAAGCAATGTATATATATATTTACATTGCCCCCAACAATCTGGGTCCTCATTTTACCTACCCCGGAAGGATGGAAGGCTGAGTCAACCTTGAGTCAGTGAGATTTGAACCGCTGACCTGCTGAACACAGTCAGCTAAAGTGGCCTGCAGTACTGCACTCTAACTGCTGCGCCACCTCGGCTCTTTTAAGCTTACATTGTATTAATTCAAGGGTGGTTCATGCCATAGGAGAGAGTAATATGGTTGTTTTGTCAAGGCCTGGAACAGAAGTGAGTGCTAAACTATTGGAAGATTCAGAGCTATAAGCTAGAACTTCCTGGTCTGTCTTTCTCCAGGCATATTTATCAATCTCCTGTTTACTCCAGCCTCTTCCCTGAGCATATCCTGGCCTAGGATTATCAAGATGATGGCTGTACAGCATGTTCAATGCTAAGTGCTCCATAAAGCTCTTTTTTCCCTAATTATCTCCTCATATTGGCCAAGAAAGTGCATCCATTCACTGGAGTGACTCACATTCCTGTGTATTGCTCTAGGAAATTATGCATGCTCTGAAGATGACCTGGCACGTTCAGTGCTTTGTCTGCGCTGCCTGCAGAACACCCATCCGCAATCGTGCCTTCTACATAGAAGAGGGGCAGCCCTACTGCGAGAGAGGTACTGCGTACTGAATGATTGAGGGATGGCTCCATGTTTCAAGCCTTCTGAAAGCCTTTAGCTGCCGTTCCAGCCTGATGAGATGGAATGTGTCCTGATTGGTCCTGGTAGCATCCGAGGATCTTGTACCAAAAAGGAAAGCCTTGGGTGAAAACATATATCATACAGTGTATTGTTAGCCCTGGATTTTCTATCCTGGGCAGCAGGAAGAGCTTGCAAAATGAAATATTTGCCGTGCAATTCTCCCCTGTCCCTGGTTTGATCACCTTTTGTTGATGGTTGCTGGGCAGTACAAGTTCTGCTGGGTTACTATGGAGATGATAGTTTAGTACCTGCCTCACATAGAATGGCAACAAGCATGCTGGGAATTGTTGTTTTTTTTTCTCCCCCTCCTTTCATTCTGGTTCTGAACAGTGCTGCTCTGGAATATTCCATTAGGAAATAGGGGGAGGGATGTAATTTCACTAACAAAATAGTCCCTCTTTCCCCCTCCATTCCGTTATTGGATGCTGTGAACAAATCTGGTATTTTCCCAGATGAACAAGCAGCTGCCTTTCATCAGAAAATGGGTAGGGATGGTGCACAGGATTCTTAATAGCATGTGTAGCCTTGCTTGACTTGAGTGTGAGGATTGTCAGCCATCTCTAGCCCAACAAGCACAACAGTTGTTTTAGACCATAAGCTTAGCTTATAATAGCAGGGAGCTGGAGCTGGAGGAGGGAGGTCAAATAATGGAATAGAAGCAGAAGGAAACCCAGAATGGAAATAGTAGAGTTGTAGATTGGACTAAAAGATGTTAAGTAGAGCTGGTAGTATACTTGAGGAGTGCAGGCACTGGAAAGAACCAATGAACTGTCAATTATTTTGAAGCATTGCCATGTTAATAACAAATTAGAAAAGCAGTGCCAGAAGATCCTGTGCTGAATTTTCAGAATCTCCTCTGGGCTTAGAAGGACTCCAGTCTGGAACCATGGAGAGTTTTTGATGCTCAGCATTCCTTAAGTAAAATAAAGCTGCAGGATATGAACACTTTGGGACCTCTCTAGATGCTTTGAGGGCCTGGCCCTCTCACCAAGCCATCCAAACTTCTATTCCATAGGAAATGCACCTTATGGGAGCCAGTACAAGCAAAGCCCCTTTTCCCCAGCTTAGGTACAATACTGTGTTTGAAAATGTTGGCTCAGGAATAATGTCATTTTCCTGTCCTCCTATCTCTCCCCTTTGTGCAAGATTATGACAAGATGTTTGGAACCAAGTGCCGTGGCTGTGATTTCAAAATAGACGCCGGTGATCGTTTCCTTGAGGCCCTGGGCTTCAGTTGGCATGACACTTGCTTTGTTTGTGCGGTAAGACAGTTTCTTCCCTCTTTCCCTCTCTCAAGTTTTAACTAATCTAATTCTACTAACTGCTGCTGGACGTCAGGGAAATGTATTCTAAAAGAACTGCAGGCTATTATTCCCAGCCAGGGGCAGGACTGGCTGGCATAAGACGTATTTTCAGATGTGCTTCCTTCTTCCTATGCATTGAGATTGGAGCTATGCAACGTGAAGGTCTCCTGCTGAAGAAATATAACAGAGAGCCAACGTAGCACAACAGTTGAGATGTTGGATCAGGAGCCGAGAGACCCTTTCAAAGCTTTCCATGGAAAGTCACTGCGTGGCGTAGACCCAGTCTTCTTTTTCAACCCAGCCTACCTTGCAGGGTTGCTGTTGCAGAGCTCCTGGAGGAAATGAGGACCTACAGTTATAATGAATGTTTGGGGGCAACTGCAATGTGCAGTAGGCAGAGTTTTCCAGACTGATTCTCTCCCCCCCTTCTTTCATCTACCCAGGCCTTTCTTACTAAGCTGAAATCAGGGGAGGGGGAATGAGGAACTGATGTGAATTTAACGGAGAATGTCTTTTTCCCACAGATCTGCCAGATCAATTTGGAAGGCAAGACGTTCTATTCCAAAAAGGACAAGCCACTATGCAAGAGCCATGCTTTCTCCCACGTGTGAGGTGGAGGAGACCTTAAGTGCTCAAGCTGCTGCCTGCCCAAACTCTGCATCCCTCTTTCCTGTCCTGAGAGAGCTCCCAGACCAGATGGCTCACTTGACCATTTTTTCCCCATAGAGGGAAAAGGGTAAAATGCTCAGGGTCCTTTTATTACTTTGGGAGGTTGACGACTATTGTATTTTTACCTAAACTGGTGTTCTTCGTATGTATTTGACTTTATCTCCTGCAGACTCCATCCAACTTGTGATTGAAATTGCTAGACATTTGGAGAGTTGAAGTCCAGGACTTCTAGACACCAGCTTAGGGAAGGATACTGTAGGGTTCTGTGTCCTTTTCAGCCAAAGAAAGTCTCAAGATGTTTCTCCCTAGTAAAGGATCCTAAATGATAGCATGCATGCTTGAAAGGAAGCATCAGCTGGCCTCCCCTAGAAGTCATTAACTCAGTGAAAACTTGCTATTAATGCTCCAGGGGAAAGGGGGGGAAGGCAGCTTTCCCCAGAGTTCAGTAGCATTACTTTCTGTCCCCTTTGCAATGTAATTACCAACAACCCTCTGCCCTCCCTTCTCTGAGAAAGCATTTGCAAAAGACTTCCATAAGGCTCTGCCTTTTGTTCATTATGTATCATGTATTTCCACTCCCAAGTCCTGTAGACATCTATTCCTAGCCATGTTGCTCAATGGAATTGCTTTTTCCAAAAAATAAAATAAAAAAATCCCCAAACCCTAAATCTCTTTTCCTCCAAACCACTTGCTAGTAATAAAAATATGAGACCCCCTGCCACAGAAAGCGAGTGGCTTATTTAAAGGATTGTGTTGTAAGTTTCCACAGAGCAAGAAAAAGCTTATTTCGAAATACCATGCAGGAAAGAACAGTTTCAAGATCCAGCTTCTTCACACTAGCAAAAACTGCTTCTTCATCATGAGATGAACCTGGGACTCTATACCTAGGAACACAACTTTATATATATTGTAGCACACAGCTTCTGAGGTCAGTGGTGGCCCCAAAGAACTCCTACCAAAGACCTAGTATTTGTGTTTTGCTCTAAATGTATTTCTCAGAACTGTGCTGTTCAGCTAGGAGTCTGTGATTCCTTGCCACATTTGGTGCCCTAATAAAATATGTCTTTTAATTCTTCGTCCTTGTGGGCTCTGATTGTTTAGGAGTTCCTAGTACTTGGAACATTGGAAGTAGAGAAATCAGATGCAAATAATGGACATTCAAAGCACAGTGTGGTTGCTTTCTTTCTGTCCCTTGTCCTCTAATGGTGCTTAGAGAGAATTTCAAAAGAGAGTAACTACTATAGCTGCAATTCAGAAACCACATATTTTATTTTGAAAAGAGGCAACTAGCGAGGTGGGAATATGATAAGGAAATGGCCTAAACTGGAAGAAGATAGACAGAATATTTTTACTAACCTAAGTAGACAGATTGTTTCTCTTCAGCTGATAGAATAGTTCAGTGAAAAATAAGCAGTTCTGGAGGGTGAGGGGGAAAAAAAACCCTAAGTCAAGTCTGTTTAGTGCAAAGACTGTCCATGGCTTTATAAAAATAATGGGAGAAGAGCCACAGTGGGATCAACAGAAGGAAGATACTAGAGTCAGCAAAACCTCATGTGCTAATGTTACTTAGTCAAAAGTTTATGATGGATTCCTAGGAACACGGCACCTGCTGAGATATCATATAATTCAAATTTTGTTTGGAGATGAGGAAAGGTTCTCTTTTTGCTCCATTCCTCCACCGTAAATTCTTCTATTTACAAATTATTTATCGTTTTAAATGAATCATTGCATTAAGCTTCATAACCTTGAGAAGTGTTTTCTGCACTTCCTTGTTTGACATATATAGTATATATGTCTGTTGTGATTGTTTCAGTTTTGGTGTCTACTTTGGGGGTTCTTTTGATGTTTCCTTTGTGCCTTTGATGATTATTAATCCTAATTTTTATGAGAGATTTATTGTAATGAGGTAACTTTTCAATGGAACACATTTTTCTAGGGAAGCAAAGCCTCATCAAAAGCTCACACTAGATCAATGCCTTGGGGTCATTGTTTCAAGGAAAGTTAACTATAGGTAGACTGTAAGATAGATGATAACAAGAGTTTAGGATACATGGAACCCTCTGTTAAACTCCATTCATTCATAATTGTTGCTAAGGAGTAAAGGCCACCTCAAATTGAATTTGACTCCTGGGGATGATATGGACATATTTTTTGGAGCAGCAATATAGTTGTTTGCCATTACCATCTAGGATATTTTTTAACTTCCATGATATTGTGTGCAGGTTTCCCCTCCCCCCCAATACTAACTAGACCTTTACTGCTAGGATTTTTCTTTTATAAATATTTCTGAATACAAGTAGCTTGGCAGACCCTGGTTCTGGCAGGTTTTTTTGTACTTGTTTTTATGGAGGGGGTGGGGAAAAGATTTGCTTGTTGAGTTTTGGAAAACACAGATGGAACAAATGGGCAGTGTCAAGCAGGGACAATTAGTTTCCCTCTACTCCTCACCTTGTCCAGGTCATCTTTACAGCAGTTCAATTTGATTGCATTGCCACTAGAAACCACATGGGCTTTAGCTGGAGAAGCCAGGTGACTAGAAAAGAAATGCAGGGCTAAGGGGGAGAAAAACCTCTCACTTGATGGATTTTGCAAGGTGCCATGACAGCCCAGCTGCCACCCACTCATTATGGGAATGAGCCTTTGTCTGACTTAGCAGTCCCAGAAAATGACCTGGAGAATCTAAACAGGAGGCAGACATCTTTCAAACAGGCAGACATCTAATGCCTATGAGAAAAATCTGGTAGGGGTAAGCATCCTGCACTTTTCCAAATGCAGCAAGCAGTACTTAACACAGATTCCCACTGTATTCTTTTTTAAAGTTATCTGAAGGGGGGGGGGAAACAAAATATGCAGCTGCTCTTGTCTGTATTGATGCAATTGTTCTGGTGTAAATCATACGGGCTGAGGATGGCTTCCCTGCTCAAGTCTTTTCCCAGCCTGATGATAACCAGATGTGCTGGATATGATTACCACCATCCCCCACAGCCATCACGCCCGATGGCCTTTGCAATGGGAAACACCCCAGAAGGTGCAAGATTAGGGAAGTTTCCGTTTTCCTTAAGAGTTCATACTTTCCTGTGATCTGGACCAGAAAATGCAGTTTGGAATTAGTAAACCGGTCAGTTCCTTTCTGGCCGGTAATTGTGAGTCAGATCACAACCCGAAAGTTGTTTTATACAAAACATCCTTTTAGTGTCAGTGCAGAGTGCCGCTACTGGGTGAAGTTCACCCTGAAGCTCTCTATACACAGTTCCGAGCGGGTGAAGAGATCTTTTGGGAGCGCCCATTTCTTACGCCCCAAACTTACACCTGGAGGGTGGGAAGGGAAAGTTCGTTCTCTCTCGTGCTGGCCGGACCTTTTGGCCAAGGCTGTTAGGGATGCAAGATGGCCGATTCCGCGCACCCACGTGTGGAGAAACCGGGAGGCGGCGGTTTCTGGTGCTGAAGAGACGGGGCAGGGGCGGGAGCCCGTGCACCCGGCGCTAGGACCCAGTGCGCGCACAGGCGGAGCCTCCTCTGCTCCTCGCCCGCCCGGCTCCCTCGCCGCTGCTGCAGTGTCTCCGAGGCAAGCAGGCAGGCGGCCTGTCTTATCCGAGCGCGGCTCCGGCACTGCTCTCTGCTCCCGAAAGCAGCATCCCTCCGACGGCGCCGGCATGGCTGGCGTGAGCTTCAGCGCGAACCGCCTGGAGCTGCTGGCCTCATATCAGGAGGTGATCGGGGAAGACAGCCCCACGGACTGGTAAGCCCCCCGGGGAGCGGGCGATCCAGCTCTTTGTCCCCTCGGTGGGGAGGGGGGCGGTGGCTCCAGCCGCTTTGTACAGGGGGGCGTGGGCGGTGTCTGCCTGCCTGCCTGCCTGCCTTTCTCTGGGAAATCGCTCTCCCGCTCCTTCCCTGCACGCTCCCCGTTTAGCCCGGAGGATGATCAAGGGAATTCCGCGCCTCCCACCGGCAAGATGCTCCTGAACGTGGGACGGGCGGGCGGACGCAGCCGGAGGAAGAAGCCATTAGCAACCCCAAGTGGTGCATTGGCAACGCCACTTGCCGGGCGAGGTGGGGCGACGGCTTTTTTTTTTTTTTTTTGTGGGATGCAAGGAGGGCACTGGCTGAAGATGCTCCGACGGTCTTTTGTAGTCGGAGCGGAGCTGAAAAAGACGCCCCTAACGACAGCGCCCCGTTTGGGCGAGGGATCAGCCCAGGAAGCCTTCGCTTTGAGGCTTGAAGGCACGTCCTAGCAGTTGCGCCCTTGTCCGGACGCTCCCTTCCCGGCACTTTGTCTCCGGCTCGGCGGGGGCGGATCCCCATCGCTCCTTCCACCTGCTCTGCTGCCTGAGCTTCCCTAAGCCCCGCGGCCGTAGCCCCGCACAAGACAGCCCCAGGCCGTCATCTTGGAAGGCTGCCCCCTGCTGCGGTCATCCTAGGGCCCTTCGTGGCCTTGCCTTCCACTCTTTTCCCCGGTTTTTTTGGGGGGTGAAAGTTCTCCGATAGGGATCCGCTACACAAAGGAAGGTGGGGCCGGGCAAAGAGGGAGGCGGGGGTCTGAAGGCTTGAGGGGAGGGACTGGTGGACTGGGAGGGGGAGGAGGAGGAGGGTCTGAGAGGAGTAAAGGGAGGCATCCAGAACTAGGTATCTCAATTCAAGAACTGCTGGGCTCCATACTGTAGCAGTCTTTCATCCCAGCTGCTGAGGCCTGGGTCTGCAGAAGAGCGGATTTTGTGTGTTTTAGGCCTTTTTCTTCTCTGTGGAAGAGGAAGCCTATATGAGTCCTGGTGTACCATTCAAGCTAGTCGAGAGGCTTGAGGCTGGCTACTCCTTCACAGAGCAACCTTGATTTGAAGGCTGCCTGCTGAAGCCATCTCCTTTCAAAGACACAACACAATTGGCATCTGCTCCATTTTTACAGTTCCCCTCCCCTCCCAAAAAAAACCCAGGATGGAATAAGGCAGGTTTTAATAATGAGACTTGCTTCTTCATATTTCTAGCTAATAGGTATTCACAGCTCTGAAGCAGAAGGAATCTTCCTTTTATCTCATTAATAATTTTCAGAGATTTAAAGCAACTTTTATTGGTCAGTGATGGCACAGGCTACTGAAGATTATTCCCAGGCAGTTTAGTATGCATACTTTCTGAGGTGCAGACTTGACTGGAGAAGTTCAGGTAGCCCCCTAAATCAAGGTACCAATACTGCATTTAACCTGAAATTATAAGTTAATCAGGTACCTATTATGCAGTAAAAAAAAAAGGGAGGGGACTGCTTTTTAATCTTTAAAGCAATTGTGGCCTATATCCTCTATGGGGTTTTTGAATGAGTCTTTTTTTCAGCATCAATTCCCTACTGGTGAAATCCAGCATTTTCTCTTTTATTTAGATAAGTAAATTAAGGAACAATAGAAAGCATGTTGTACTATACCTGTGTGACATAAGTGACTGTAGATAGCTGGATTCCACCCTCTGTAGACTTCATGATGTGATATCTTTTAAGGCACCTCTGTGGAGTTAGTGGTTTTTTAAAAAATAATTTAAATAATCCTGCATTTGTTTTCATAGCAGCTTTTCCCATGTGGGTGCCCTCCAGATGTATGGCTATTACCTTCTTATTCCCATGCAGCTGGGTGATAGTTAGGAAAGATTATAGAAAAGTACTTATTTAGAATTTAAATGAAAGTGATTAAAGTTCTAAAATTCCTGTGAGGAATTATTTACCTTGCATATTGACCCTCACATTTTCAATGTTTGTTTTAATGCAAGATTTTCCCTTTCTGAAAACAGTTTCTTGAATCTCCTGAGCCCGCTACATCTTCTCCCTGTCTATCTGCCAGGAAGATTACTCCTTCTATCATTGTTGAGGTTCCCTTTCCCCACTCAGGTTGTTTGAAAGCTCTGGTGCACCCATAAGGTATAATTTCAGCAAGAAATTTCAGCATACTATGATAAGAAGTAAATTGTCCAAGTTGAGTTTGACCCCTAGTGATTTTACAGACACTGCCATACAGTTCTTATGATAACAACAATGACATAGTTGGCCATTGCCTTCTTCCTGGGTAGGGTTTTTTTTAAACTTCCCAGTTTAGCCTACAG